AGTCACTGCACCAGGCCACCAAGTATATTTTTAAATGAGGTTTTTGAAATAGGTCACGGAATACTCTCATATCTAGGCAGAGAATTTTTAGTGATAATTGGTTATTGATGAGTTCAAGAAACCACTTCTCTCTGATTCTCATGTTCCAAATAGCTGGTCCAGTTGTGCAAATTAGCCTGAAACTACATATGCAGAGGCTAAAGTGGGGTAAGGGTTGGAGGCTCCTCAAAGGCAGGGTGTGGGTCCCCTTTATAGTTGTATCTCCAGGCCCAAGTGCAGCTTTTTGTCATTGGAGGTGTTCAGTGAAGTTTGCTGCACAACTTAATGAAAGAGTAAACAAATTAAATTTCTGGTTCTCCGAGCTTTTCTTTTTATTTTTTTTGAGATGGAGTCTTGCTCTGTCACCCAGGCTAGAGTGCAGTGGCATGATCTCGGCTCACTGCAACCTCCGCCTCCCCAGTTCAAGTGATTCTCCTGCCTCAGCCTCACAAATAGCTGGGACTACAAGTGCCTGCCACCGCATCCAGCTAATCATTGTATTTTTAGTAGAGACGGGGTTTCACCATCTTGGCCAGGCTAGTCTTGAACTGCTGACCTCGTGATCCACCCGCCTCAGACTCCCAAAGTGCTGGGATTACAGGCATGAGCCACCGCGCCTAGCCTCTCCAAGCTTTTCATGGGAATAGAAGAATATCTTAACACACAAGCAAGCATTTGTGTTTTCTTTTTTCTTCTTTTTTTTTTTTCTTCTTTTGAGATGAGGTCTTGCTCTGTCATCCAGGCTAGGATATAGTGGCATAATCACAGTTCACTGCAGCCTCAACCTCCCAGGCTCAAGCGATCTTCTCACCTCAGCCTCTCAAGCAGTTGGGACCACAGGCATGTGCCACCACAGCTGGCAAACTCTTTTTGTATTTTTTATAGAGATGAGGGTCTCACTATGTTGCCCAGGCTAGTCTTGAACTCCTACACTCAAGTGATCCATCCACCTTGGCTTCTCAAAGTGCTGGGATTACAGACATTTGTGTTTTATGAAGTCGTGTCTCGCAAACTTGATGGTCTAGTGGCTACTTTGGTGAGTCCAAAAAATCAACCAAACAAAAAAACAGAAAACAAAAAACCCTTTTAAACTTTTCTATCCTTTTCTAATAGTCACTGCATAGCATCTTCCCACGTGTAAAGGTGTATCCTTTGAACTTTAGCAGGTGACGTGGGCATGAGTCTCTGTACCTCATGAATTCCTCAGAATTCTATGTCATTCTGAAATGTTGACCTATTTCTCTTGCTTACTGCTGAGGCCAGTAAACTAGCTGTCTTAGCGTCTCACCTCTTGTGGAATATCTCTGGCAAAGCCCGTTTCCAAGTGTCTTGCATTAGTGGAGATGTGTGTTGTATGGTGTCCTCATCAAGAAAAAACACATGTTTGCTTGCTGAAATTTTAGACAATTTCCTTCTAACAAAAGCCCTTGCCTGCCTATCTTTAGAATCCCAGCCTGGGGTGGGCACAGTGGCTCACATCTGTAATCCTAGTGCTTTGGGAGGCTGAGGCAGGATGATCACTTGAGGCCGGAAGTTCGAGACCAGCCTGGACAATATAGTGAGACCCTGTCTCTACAAAAAATGTTTAAAATAAATTAGCCGGCATGGTGGCACGTGCCTGTAGTTCCAGCTGCTCTGGAGGCTGAGGCAGAAGGATCGTTTGAACCCAGGAGCTCAAGGTTACAGTGAGCTATGATCGTGCCACTGCACTGCACTCCAGCCTGTGCAACAGAGACCCTGTCTGTAAAGTAAGTACATACATAATTAAAAAATTAGAATCCCAGCCTGACTTGTGACTAAATTCGTTCACTAAGTGGTGAGAGATGCTAACATTAAGTGCTGGTATATATGCTGCTTCATAGATGGCCCTTCTGACAACCATATGTTGTGAAACTGTTTGATGCATGTGGCCCACCGGTAGGAAAAGGCATTGTCGTCAGCACTGTCAAGAGATCAGGCAGAAGTGTAACATATGTATATTTTAAAGAAGGAGCAACAGTTGGGAATGGACAAAAGACACAGCCAGAGCACCCTCAGAAGCCTGTAATTATACTAGTAACCAAACCTTCCCATAGGAGAGCTCATTTTCAGAGAGGTGAAACTGAATCTGAAGACACGTTTCTGAGACATGAATACTGAGATTGCTTTACCTAGGCATCGGCAATAAAACATCTTATGTTGATCACATCTTTCCCAGAGACATCAGAAAAGAACATGACTCACCTCATTGGTGTAAAAAGGACACTCTGCTTCCCTTCCTAAAACCTTCCATGGTATTGTTCCGCTTTTGGTTCTGAATTATAGAAAGATGAATATTTTTGTCCCTGAGCCAGGAAGGCTGTGTGCCATGTGCCTTTTACACAGCAGCTACATTTCACAAAAGAGTGTTTTTTACCTGATTCTTCCTGTGGCATTTTAGAAATTTGCTCTGGACTTTCTAACATTCATTTCTTGTGTCCCCAAGGCACCATCACGAGTCAGTGGGAGGAAAAACATTAACTTCACTGAAGCCGGGAGAAAGGTCGAATGGCATGTCCAGAATCACACAGTGACTCAGAATACCTGCCTGGGCAGCTTCTTCATCTGTTAGAAGGTTCACTTTTCAAACAGCAAGAGATATTTATTCATTTTGGAAACCTCTTCTGCTGTGTTTCTAAATGGTCAGCCTCTAGATTAGGGGAGGAAATCACCCAGTTTTCACTAGCTACCACAAGCCAACACAGTGAACATAAAAGCTTGTAGAAAGATTATTCCATCAGGATAAATCTATAGTTGGTTATCATCATGCTTGAGAAGCGTTTTTGGAAGTGAGCTCAAGCTTTGGAAACTGATTTCATAGAGCAGGTCTGTGTCCTCATGACCACCCCACCTGCACCCCAACAGTGTCCCTGCAAGACGAATGCCCTGGAGGAGCAAGACCAACACCATTGCCCACCTAACATTTAAAAATGTTCTCATATTTGGGTGAAAGCAGACTTCAAATATCTGGGTTACCACTTTTTCAGTCTTTTCTTAGATGCTTGCATTGTAGAAAAATGTTAGGTAGAGAATTAAGGCAATTTAACAATCACTTGCCACACTCCAGAAGTTTAGGATATCACCTTTAGGCCAGCTCATGTTTTTAATCAACTCATGATAACTATTGGTTCCAAATGAAAAGTTTCCCTTTTTATTGTTTAGCTGTGGTTGAAATTTGCATTTTTCTCTGAATCAATAAAATAATCTTAGAAGTTGGTTGGCATCTTCTCAGATTTCCCTGCTCCTGTTGGGGCACAAAAATTCTCTTTGGTTCTACTTTACCCCTTGCATGTTAAGCAATCCTAGTTCCCTTACCTTACCTGATCCTTTCCCCTCTCCCTCCAGCTGATGGCTCCTCTCTGATCCTGCTGGGAGGTTCCTGACTACATTCTCCCGGGTAGTTCAGAAATTTACCCTCACCAGTAGCCCTCACTCTCCAAAACAAAAACCAGACAACTCTTTGTTTGGTACTTTATTAAAAATGCTAAAAATAAAAGAAAAGAAAAGAAAAAAAGAAGCACAAAATGACTCATACACATTCCCCCAGACTAACAGGAGGAGTGACTCACCTTCCCTCCTCAGCTTGTATCACTCATGTCTTATGGATTAGGACATGGAATCATGTGTAGGTTTCTCTGCCACTTTCTAGAGCCAGTTAAATTCTAAGATCCCCAGAAGTTTAGTAGTCATAAACGATTATTAAATACTTGGGCATCAAATATGGTAATGAAATGAAAATATGTCTTCCATGAAGACACCGGCTATGACAATGACCAGAGAAGAAAATCCCTGGAATTTTAACATGGTGATTTCTCATTGCTCACCAAGATGTGTGGGTTTCCCTTCACTGATGATACTCACACGAGCCACTCCTACTGCACATGACAAAAAGAACTCAAGAAGGCAAACTTTCTTTACAAGTTGAAGGTAAAAGAAGCTAGATTGATAATAGTTTCTATAGATTGATTTATCTTTTTGACAAGTTTAAAACATATACTTAAAATATAATTTAGAAAATGCTTCATCTGCTGACTCCAGAGCCTGAAGTGCAGGGTGGGGTGGGGGTGGACAGCTGCCTACTACACCAGCAGAGCAAGACTGCAGAGGTGCGGCTCTCCCTCCCACACCCTTCTCTTCAGACACCCAAGGGGTCCCATGCACCGCTGGAATCACACAACTAGTTTCTACAGATTTGAGATATGAGAAATTGTAGACACTGGCTTCAGTTATTCAAAAGCAAGAGCTTGGGTTTTTTGATCCTTTAATTAAAGTTCTTGTTCCAAAAAAATGTGTTCAAACACAACCTTTAACAGCTCAATTTCTAAAAATTATTTCATAAAAGGAGGAGAGTGAACAATCCTCTATGTATATGTTCTACAGAACAAATCTTATCACCAATTACTAAAGCAGGGAAGTGCAGCTTGTCAAAAAGGCCTTACTGGAGAGGCGGTGGGGGATGGGGATGGAGAATATGAAAATGTCATTAAGGATGAGAGCCTAGACACGATAAAAGATGCAGCACTTCAGAGCAGCCCAGCCAAAATGAGAGGTGGCAAAGCTACTTTTTTGTCTGTGAAATTTGCATTTGTTTCATTTCCTTTACCAGTGCCATCTGAGTCCCTCCAAGCCACCTCACTTTCTGTTGTCTCCATTTCAGCCTAAAGACACCCCAATTATGGTGTGCCTTCCAGGTATTTCAGTCAGTTTTTTTGGGATGGGGTGGGGGGACAGAGTTTTGCTCTTGTTGCCCAGGCTGGAGTGCAATGGCGCAATCTGGGCTCACTGCAGCCTCTGCCTCCAGGGTTCAAATGATTCTCCTGCCTCAGCCTCCTGAGTAGCTGGGATTACAGGAGCCTGCCACCACACCCGACTAATTTTATTTATTTATTTATTTATTTTATTTTTAGTAGAGATGGGGTTTCACCACGTTGGCCAGGCTGGTCTCAAACTCCTGACCTCAGGTGATCCACCCACCTCAGCTTCCCAAAGTGATGGGATTACAGGTGTGAGCCATGGAACCTGGCTCGCAGGTATTTCAATCTAAATGTCAGTTCAACAGGAAACATCAATTAAAACAAAAATGGATTTCCCACGACCAATACGAATTCCTGTGGCCACTCTCATCCCATTTCCTATCTACATCCACCAAAAAAAAAAAAAAAAAAAAAAAAAAAGCAAGGAATAGAGCATACAATCTCTCTTCTTTTATGTTCTCTAAGTAAACCCTGGGTTCTGGTAGGACCCTGTGTCAACATCCTGCTGTCTGAACTCTTATCCTGTTAGGGTAGCCAGATTTTATGCTTTTAAAACACCAACTAGTCCAATGTATAGTTCCGTCTATTAATGGCCACTTTTTTTTTTTTTTAGAACATCTTAAATTTTTAATCCTTTCTTTACAGGTTACCTAGACCACTTTTAATTAAGAAAACTGTAGAAAGTCAGTAACTGCTGCAAGCGAACGCCAGGCGGTGGCACGTCGATTTCCACAGAGTCCTTCTTTGCGAGGTGTCTGAATGTACTACAGGGGGTCGGTCTCTGCTCACACTTGCTGGAATCAATCGTGGCAGATTTTAGTCCACAGGTCGCTTTTCCCCATATTTCTTTGTAAACTCTTCAGCATTCTTACAGAATTTTTTACGGTCTTTAGAGTATTCTTCAGCTAGGTCAGCCCGAAGCGGGTGCTCGGGCTGTGGGTCATTCACCAGTGCTATGAGGGACTGGATTACTTGGTCGGTTTTGGTTGCTGGCTTCCAGTTTTCAGCACTAATTACTGGCAGACAGACCTGCCCCTTTTCGTCGATGTTCGGGTGATAGATCTTTGTTTTAAATGTAATCCTCGGTGGTTTGAATGGGTACTCTGCTGGAAAGTTGATTTCGATTCTGAAGGCCCCCTTATTATACGGAGGGTTGTCAGGAACAATAAGCCCTTGCCAAGTCAATAAATTAGCTTCATCAACCTGGATGTTACGGAAGTTTTCCATTCCACATTTGCGGATTTCTTCAAGCTCCTTCATCAGCCTCCTGCTGGCCGCCATCTTGGATTTGGTGCTGCTCCTTTCCCAGAATGCATCGTGGTAACGGCCACTTTCAATGGTTGCATATGTATACACAAATAACGTTCTGATGTGGCAGTTTGAACTTACGCTGAGCAAAGCAACTTGCCCACTGGTTGATTAGAGTGATCATCCACAATCCTACACATTATAATTCTTTTTTTTTTTTTTTTCTAGAGCCAGAGTCTCCCTCTGTTGCCTGGGCTGGATTGCAGTGGTGCCATCTCGGCTCACTGCAACCTCCGCCTCCTGGGTTCAAGCCATTCTCTTGCCTGGGCCTCCCAAGTGGCTGGGATTACAGGCACGTGCCACCATGCCCAGCTAACTTTTTTTTGTATTTTTAGCAGAGGCGAGGTTTCACCATGTTGGCCTTGCTAGTCTCGAACTCCTGACCTCAAGTGATCCGCCTGCGTTGGTCTCCCAAAGTGCTCAGATTACGGACGTGAGCCACCGCACCCGGCCTTACACATTATAATTCTACCTGCATATTCACCTGCTGCCTGACTGAAGACTGATATTATATCCAGATCAGATTGCTCATCTTGCATTTCACAGCACAAAGTGAGATCCTTGGTGTTTGAATTTTTTTTTCTGAGGAATTTCTATTAATCCAGTTCATGTTCTCAACAGGAAGTAATTCAGACATGGGAAATGATAAAATGTATCAACTGAGAGCCAAAGAAGATAATGAATAGAGGTCAAATATACAAATATACTCATGCAAAGGGATAGAAATAATATATTTTGAGGCATTTTCACAAAAAGTTATCACTTTAGAGTACGAATGTAAATTATACTTGTTTACCTGAATTTTCAGATATAACTCACTTTGTAGAATATTTAATATCTTGAAACCTGTCATTTTAATTATAAAATTGGACTTGAATTTCTGTAGAACAAGTATTATACCCAGAACGACACGAAAACTTCAGTAAGAAGGCAGCAAAACTTATTTAAAAATCACGTATTTAAAGGTAAGATTATCTTTTACAATAAATTATTAATGGCATTGCTCAAAATAAGTTACGGAATATGAATGCAAAGTAGTCAGAGTTATTTTTATATTTGCCATAAGAGCTAAGGAGCTTAAAAAGAAAAGTAGTATTAGAACAACAAAAAATGGGACAGCAGTCACTTGGCTTCAATAAGCCTTCTCTGCAATATTCTGTAAGAAAAGAATATACAAGTTGCATTTTTAAAAGTTACCTTGTTGTGGAAGCTTCTGAATTTTGGAAAGGAATGGTTGATTTTGATCAAAGCCTGGAAGAAATACAGACATTTTGAATCAAAATGTAACAGTATATGCAGAGAGCTCTCTAGCTACAGATAATAAAATCACCACCTAAGCACAGGCTGTGTAGACCAGGACTAGGAAAGAAGTCCATCTGGCAGGAAAATAAGTTAGGATTCAGAGAGCAAATAAGATTGCAGCAGATGTCAGGGTACAGAAAATGATTGAATAAGTAAGAATTCAAAATAGTATGTTTATATGACCTGTCTTCCCCAACTAAAAGCTCCATATGGGCAGGGATTGTAATTTTGTCCATTGCTGTATCCCCAGCTTCTGCGCCAGTGTCTGGCTTATAGAAGGTGCTCCATACATTCCCCCTCCCAACCCCTCACTTTTGTGTAAGCCCTGACTCACATCCATACTTTTTTTTTTTTTTTTTTTTTTTTGAGGAGTTTCACTCTTGTCTCCCAAGCTAGAGTTCAATGGCGTGATCTCAGCTCACTGCAACCTCTGCCTCCCAGGTTCAAATGATTCTCCTGCCTCAGCCTCCCGAGTAGCTGGGATTACAGGCGCCCACCACCACGCCTGGCTAATTTTTGTATTTTTAGTAGATATGGGGTTTCACCATGTTGGCCACGCTGTTCTCAAACTCCTGACCTCAGGTGACCCACCAGCCTTGGCTTCCCAAAGTGCTGGGATTAAAAGGCGTGAGCCACTGTGCCTGGCCCTGCCCTTTCCCTTTCCCTTTCCCTTTCCCTTTCCCTTCCCTTCCCTTCTTCCCTTCTTTCCTTCCTTCCTTCCTTCCCTTTCCTTTTTTTTTTTTTTTTTTTTTTTGACAGAGTTTTGTTCTTATCACCCAGGCTGGAGTGCAATGGCACAATCTTGGCTCGCTGCAACATCCGCCTCCCAGGTTCAAGTGATTCTCCTGCTTTGGCCTCTGGAGTAGCTGGGATTCCAGGCACGCCCGGCTAATTTTTGTTATTTTTAGCAGAGACGGGTTTCACCATGTTGGCCAGGCTGGTCTCAAACTCCTGACCTCAGGAGATCTGCCTGCCTTGGCCTCCCAAAGTGCTGGGATTACAGGCGTGAAAACCCTGCCCGGCCCATAAATATTTGATAAGTGAATAAACATAAGCTGAAGTTTCAGAAGACAGATTTGTCCAAGGAAATTAAGTCCCACAAGTATGTGAGGAACACCTAACCAGTACTATGTTAAGTGTCTGCATGTAATGCAAAAGTAACTGTTATCCAAGACTCAGTAATATGGCATGAGAATGCATGGCGCTGGGTGGGGAGGAGTGACTGTCTTTGGGAAGAAGGCATTAGAGATGGTATTGAATGGTAAGTGGTAGGAACGGGAGGGACTGGAGCCCAATGCCAGGCCCTGGGCTTTGTATTCCATTCCCAATCTCCCTGAGAACAGGAACTACTTCAAGTGCCTGCCTCACTATGTTTCTAGTAGGTGCTCAATAAATATGCATGAACTGGTAAGTAGACAATTGGGAGCCAAGCAGTGCATCCAATGGAGCTGCAGGATCAGCATGCTGGCCAGGACCAGCCAGGGAATCAGCCAGGGCCTATTTCTTTGTTCTCTGACTCATCTAATTGAACAACTGTGGCCAATCCAGGATGGGCATTGTCAGAGTGTGGTCTGAGAACTCCTCCCCCAGGATTAAACGTTAAAATGTTAACCCTCAGGCCCCATTGAGACTTCTTGAATCAAAATCCTGAGGGAGAGAACAGACACTGTAATGTAAAGCAGGTATCCAAGAATTGGGCACTGTGGCTCATGCCTGTAATCCTAGCACTTTGGGAGGCTGAGGTAGGAGGATTGCTTGAGGCCAGGAGTTCAAGACCAGCCTGGGCAACATAGTGAGACCTGGTATCTACAAATAAAAAATTAAAAATTAGGTGGGCATGGTAGCATACACCTGTAATCCTAGCTACTCGGGAGGCGGGACTGGGAAGGAAGATCACTGAGCCCAGGAGGTTGACGCTGCAGTGAGCTATGATTGACTGCACTCCAGAAACTGAAATCCCAAGAGCAAGAGAAACTACTATTTTGGGTGGTCACTGTGGGCCAGGTACTGTTCAAGATGCTTTCACATATAGTAATTGTATTTATTTATTTAATTTTAAATTTGCTGCAAACTCTTGAGCAGACTTACATATAGTAATTTAATATGCAATACTCCACAGAGGTAGTTTGATTATAACTATCTGTGTTTGAGGAAACAAGCTCAGAGATAGTATATAACTTGCTTTACACTGAATGGCAAGTAACTATTGCGGATCCAAATTCCTGAGCTTAATTTCAGAGACCACACACTCTCCTACATCTCACGGCACCTTAGGGGAATACAGAATCCAGGAAACCAGGACATCATGTTGTGCCTGCCTTCAGGAAATGTACATTCAGCCTCTGTTTGGTTGAATCTGCCCAAATGAATCTCCAGAAATCGAGATTTGAGGTTTTAACATTACATAATTCTAGATCCTAGAGTGTCAAAGTCATCTATGACTTTAATAATCCTAGTAAGACGTCCAAGCACTGGGTGCAGTGGTTTGTCTGAACCAGGACTAATTTTTAGAAAATTCACATGTGCAGAGTGGACAAGTGCCTTAACAGAGTGAAGGCAGAGGTGGGGGAAGACAGCTGGAGAGGTGCAGACTGTCACCCTCACACCTAACACCGCTGTTGGCTCCCACCAACAGTCCCACCCAGGGTGGCCGGGTCTTCTCATGTTTCAGAGAAGCCTGAAGTCCAGCTTTCCATGTGAACCATAACAATTTCAAAATATCCATAACTAATTCAAAAGTTTAAACTACACCCTGCAGGCCAAACAAACAGGTCTGGAAGACAAGTTCAGGCCCATGGAGCTCCAGCATGCACCCTCTAGTTGGGAACATACAAATCCCAGCTCGTTAAGCTACATAAAGTAACTGGGACATGGTTTAGTGAAAACAGTTTCCATCAGAACCTGTCTGTGCATCTGCTGGCATGAAGGTATATCCCTACCACTATTTCTGGTTTAATTTAGGAAAACATGCATTGCATCATCTTTTGATTTTATGCAAGTGTATCAGATGTGGCCTGAAGGCCAAATTTTTGTAAATTGGGATTGCGTCTTTTTATTGCCCACCTTCCCACCGTAAGGATGCCTAATTCTGGTTTTTGATTGATCTTTAATGAGCACTGGCCAATTTTAAATGTATGATTCCCTGGCCTTTCAGTTTATTTTATTTTTTTGAGACAAGGTCTGGCTGGAGTGCAGTGGTGCTATCTTGGCTCACTGCAACCTCCACTTCCCAGGCTCAAGCCATCCTCCCGTCTCAGCCTCCCTAATAGCTGGGACTACAGGTGTGCACCACCACGCCCGGCTAATATTGTAATTTTTTAGAGACGGAGTTTCGCTATGTTGCCCAGGCTGCTCTTGAACTCCTGGATCCAAATGATCCCCCTGCCTCAGCCTCCCAAAGTGCTGGGATTATAGGCGTTGAGCCACCACACCCAGCCCTAGTTTATTTTAAAGGAAACTAGAGTAAACTCTCTGGGGGAAGAAACTCCAGTTTAATAACACTCTGTATTGTATCTCCTTTATTGTAATTGTATTTGGAGATTTTCCACATGGAACTTCTCTGTACTGAAGCCTTAAACCTGCTGTGTTTCAGAGCAGAAGTTATCCATGTCTGTCTATCTCTCTCTGACACACATGCACAAAAACTAGATATGTGATTTACTATATATGACACGATAAACATTCTAAAACAGTAAGTTTAGAACAACAAATTTTTTGTCATTGCTATTATTTAATGATTTTATCATGTTACTTTATGTAGAATGGCTATGAATAATTAATTAGGTTTTGTTGTTTTTAATATCTCCACAGTCTAAATAATAAACCATTTTCCCAATATTGGCATTGCTTTAGAAGAGATTTTCTTATCTATTTTATGGCAGAGTTAAAAAGGTGCCTCTCCCTGTGTCCTAAGTTTTGCAACGTGTGTGCATTTATTACGTGTCATCAAGCGAGGCAGTGCTAAACTAGCAAAGCAGAAATCATCACCAGAGCAAATTAACGCAGTGTCACCCGCTGACCGATGTTAAACGCGGCAGAGACGCACAAGCATCCGTGTGAATGGATTAAAAAGGCACTTACAGGGATGGCCCGCAAAGATCCTAGTTTCAAGACACAACAAAAAGCCTCCAGGAAGTGAAGCCGGCAGGTTCTAATCTCACTTATTTTCATGGCTATGTTTTTTTAATTGTAGTTTTCCACTGTGAAACCAAACAGCATCAAAGGAGAACAGCCTTTCCCCTCTCCCGGAAGCCTCACGGAGCTGAGTTCCCTGAGCTGCGCGGCCGCGGGTCACGGGGAAGCTGCCCCGCGCGCGGAGCTCCCCGAGCGCCCAGCCCTGCCTGCGCCGCCGCCGCCACCACCGCAGCCACCGCAGCCACCGCCGCCGCCGCGGCCAGGGAGCTGGGCTGAGCCGAGCCGGCCAGGGCTGGCCGGGGCTGGCCGGGGCTGGCCGGGGCGGGGATGGGCGGGCCTGGGCGGGCCTGGGCGGGGCGAGCGTCAGTGGTTATTTATTTATTTAGCGGCTGCAGGAAAGCTCCTTGGCGCTCGCGAAAGCCGGAGACGCCTTCCAGGTAGCCCGGCGCTCCCGCCCGTCCAACAGTTCCCGAGCTTGGGAGAAACTAAGGAACTTGCTTCGCCCGCCCGCCGCTCCCGGGGCCGCGTGCCCACCCGCGGCGCTCGCCCTCCCTGCTCTTCCCCACTTTCTGCCCCCACCTCCGCCCGCCCCACCTTCCCCCCTTCCCCCCTTCCCCCCTTCCCCCGCTTTCCCCTCTCCCACCTCCTCCTTCCCGCCCCCACCTCCACTTTCTCTCCCCTCCCACATCCCCCGTCTGCCCCTTCCCCCTCCTTCCCGCCCCACCTCTCCCTGCTCCTCTCCCTCCTCCTCCCCTCCGCTCCTCTACTTTCCACCTCCTCCGCCCTCCCCCACCTGCCCCCCGCTCCCCTCACCACCCCTCTTTCCCCACTCCGCTCCCCCGGCGGCGGGCGGCTCCCTGGCTCCGGCGTGTACAGATTTGGGCAGAATGTGGTTCCAAGGCTCTCGGTCAAGAATTCAGAGGAGGAAAGTTTGCTGGCGGCGCCGCGGCTCACACCACTCCCCGCCCCGGGGACTGTCCTCCAGGCCGGGCCGCGCCGCCGGTGCTTCCCTTCCCGGAGCCTTCGCTCTTCCCCGGGAAGGCCCGGCCTTACATAAGGGCCCGTGCGCCCGCCCCAGCCCCGGGGGCAGCGCGCTGTGCTCTGCTCAGTTTAACAAATATTCTGCTCCTGAAACTTAGTACCGATAAAAAGGGCAGCGGTCCGTTTTATTTTAGACAGAAAAATGAGGGCGCAAAAGGGGACTGAGAGGGAGAGAGGCCAGAGAACAAGACAGCAGGTTCGTGTTGGTGGCAGGTGGATGGATAGAAGGTTCCTTGAGAGCGGAATTTCCTATTTGGATGCCTGTGCAGAGGGAGGTGGCTGTAAAGATCGGGTAGCCTTGATAACGCCAAGGTGGCCTGGACAACAGAAGCCCGGGGAAGGAAACGGGGCGGGACTTCTGCCGCCAGAAAGGTTGATCGCTATCCGCGTCCATAGTGGGACACGCGCCTGAGCGAGGGCGCGTGTAGCGGAGATGGGGTATGGGTCATATGCAGGGAGCATAATGCCTGCGTCTCCAGCGGCAGGCCTGGCCTACAGCAGGCACACCATAAACAGCTAACACGTGGGCACTGAGCTTAAACTTTGCCAGCTTGGTTGCAGTTAATCCTTAGAACAATTGAGCCCTCCTTACTCCCATTTTACACACGGGGAGACTGAGACCTGGATGGGCTAAGTGACTTGGCCATGACCACACAGCTCTTTGCAGCCGATGAGGACTCAAACCTCAGACTCCAAAACTCATGCTATGGGACAACTTCGTATTTGGGAGGCGTAATACAAAAGGGTTCAGCTTTGGGGCAGAGTGAAGGGACACCGCGTTTGGAGGATAGGCAGGTAGGCTTGCCGCAGGTGGATATGTATGTCCCTACAGTTCTCTCACGCTCACATTTCACCATGGACACAGCGGATCTTTACCCCTCAGGACGTTCCTGAGGCGGGTTCATTAGCCCGAGTTTCTGAAATCCTCTACTTCCTCCACAGTGGGTACTTGAAGAGCTGTCCTCTCTGGTTAACCCAAGTCTCTTTGTGGCTCTTCAGGGAAATTCCCTGTGCCCAAACAAGACTGGTATCCATGTGCAGAGTTACTGGACTCCCCAACGGGATTAAAAACAATTCCCCAAATTCCCGTTCTTCTGGGAATTCGTGGGATTCCTGGCCCACACAACATTTTATAAGGGGCCTAACCTGGAGCCTAAGGATGTGGGTATCCAGGAGTAATGATGATGGGACATTCTTAGTCTAGTGTGAATGTATGTCCCTTTGCTGCTGCTCCCCAGCAACTATGAAACACACCTGATACTGTTAGGCCCCTCCGATAGTTTCTTTTTAAACGGTTTCGAGATCCCACTAAGGATGTTTTTTTTTTTTTTGCTTCAGTTGCTATTTTTACTACCACTTAACATCTACACACTCATACGAACCCAGAAGACACCCTAATCCTCCCCAAAAGTGAGAAAGATTTGACATCCCAGCCTGCTAAGGAAGTCAGTGGGAAGCCTGGTTCTCAAATCAAATGTCTACACGTGTTCCCATAGAGCACAGAGAAATCGGCGTTCGCCGTGTGGTGGGATAATACCTTAGGGTGCTATCTGATAGTTCATTTATTTCTAAACTAGTGTAGCCGCCATATTGATAATTAAATATCCCGTAGGAGCTCTGGGAGGGTCTCCTTGTGTTATCCCTTCTCCATTTTTTTAAGGGTAAAAACTGAAGCCGCCAAAAGGCTTACTATACCACACAACACCCAAGCCTTGTTTTGGGGCATGGGGACAGTGGATCTATGGCTCCTCAGGATGCCAACCAAGCGAAGAAGGAAGCCAGCTCTACTCAACAGCTCCTACAAAGGAAGGACCACAGGGGAGGGGCTTCAGTGGTTCCAGGCAACTGCTTCATTCACAACAGAATGACCATTTTCTCCAGCATGGCCAACTATCCCTAGTCTTTTTGTCACGACAGCCTAGAAGGCAGAAGCTAGAGCCAAGGCTGCTGCTAAGGAATTCCTACTCTTACTGGGGCCTAATGTCAGGCTTTCCTTATATTGTAGAGGGGGCCCTGGAGGATAGTTAGAGACTCTCTTCCTGCTGGGTTCTGAAGAGGAGCACGAGGATCTGGTGAGCAAAGTGAAGCAAAGCTTAATGCAGTGCCTGCAGCTGACAGCCCTGTTCCCTACTGCACGCAGTTGGCTCAGGGCTGTCCCCCACCTTGGAGCTTCTTGCCACTCACGGGCTACCCTGCACACACTACTTACTGCCCAGGCCTGTCTGCCGCCACAGTACCCTGTGCCAGAGACCTTTCCTGGCCTCTGCTGGATCCCAGGCCTAGTATCATTCCTGGGGACCCCAGAGGCAAGTCCAGGCTATTATGTTCTGGGAAAACAATGGACAGTGTACATGTTTGCCTTTTGACGTAGATAAATGATACCTGGATCCCAAGTCTGGCTCTGGGGCAGGGGAGCTTCAGGCCTGGCTACGGCAGAACACTGAAGGAGGTACTCTGCGTTTTCACCACCTCTTAAATCATCTGAGAGAGAGAGAGAGAGCCACTTACTTTCACATGCACAAGCTGCCGCTGGCTCTGTCACAAGAAGATGAACTACAAGTAATAAAATCAAGATGAAGTTCTGTGTAAATCTTTCCAGCTTACAAAAATTGTAGAAAGTTGAAGATGAAAGGGATATTAAAGAGCATCTCATTCTACCTCCTCATTTTGCAGCTGTAAGAACCGAGGCCCAGGGAGGGGGACTGGGGAAGCCGCCATCACACAGCTGCTCCGTGGCAGGGGTTGTGCTGACTTTCTGTGGCTGTTGCCATTACACCCGGCATCTTTTGACTTTTGAAAACAGTGAAGGAGAAATCAGTTCTCCCAGCATCTTCACCTCCCACAACGTTTATTGTTTCTAGCTGTTAAAAATTGGCCCTTTAAAAATGAGTCGCCCTGCCAGTCACAGAGGGTCACCGCGGTGGGCAGTGCTGATTTAGAGGGCGGCAGAACAGGGAGGTGATCGGAGGCATAATTGCCAGTCTGCTCCCTGGCACCTGGGGATTTCTGTCATTCAAGTCCCTGGGTGTGTGCCCTCAGCAAATACTAACCCACAGAGTCAATTGCTAACTGCAGTCATCTGTGCATTTGCCCTCTGGGGATGGAAAGCCAGAAGAAATGCCATTTCCTAGTCTAGTTGGCCTTGGATGAGAATATGTTTTTGCCTAATGGAAGCCTTCGGAAAGTGAATAATGTGTATTTAGGACCTACAGTGCTCCCCAGGATGCTGTAAGGGACCTGGTTATAAAGAAAAAAACCTCACAGATAACCATCTTGGCTTTGTCTTTGTCTGAGTTAAGTCCTTTTGGTTGGAAGTAATCAACTTGAGCTGACTTAAGCATTAAGGGACATACAAGAGTGCAGCGGTATCTCATGAAGTGCAAGGGCAGATGGCCTCAAGGTAGCCCGAGAAGCTGCTAGGAACCTAGGCAGTCCACCTTCTCCAGCTTTCTTCTCTGCTTCATGTCTCTGCAATCTACTTTCTTCTCTGTGAGTAGCTGGGCGGAGGATAATCCCTCAACAACTATCACATCTACATCTTCTCTCCTCAAGAGATTAGCCAAAGATGAGTGGCTGTCCTCAGTCCAATACCAGATTCCTGGGAAAGGGAATTTGGTTGTCCAGCCTGGGTCAGGTGCACAGCTTGATCCAATCAGGTGTGCCCGGGAGAGGATTCCCTGAGACAGGTACATCTGGGGACACTCATCCTCATGAATGACCGAAGGACAGTTCTCCAGGAAAGAAGAGAGAAGAGCGGAGGTCAGACATTTCAAATGTGTATTATAGGCAACACATTAGTTACTGATATAGAAAAATGGCAATGTCTAAGTAGGGGGCTTGAGAAACAGTTCAAACACTGTAGAGATTTTGATTATTTGCCTAACTTCCGGGATGATAAATTGTCTATTATGGAGCTGTATCTTTGTTTTGTTTTGTTTTGTTTTGAGACAGAGTCTTGCTCTATTGGCAAGGCTGGAGTGCCGTGGCGTGATCTCAGCTCACCACAACCTCCACCTCCCAGGTTCAAGCAATTCTCCTGCCTCAGCTTCCTGAGTAGCTGAGATTACAGGCGCCCACCACCACTGCCGGCTAATTTTTGTATTTTTAGTAGAGATGGGGTTTCACCATGTTGGCCACGCTAGTCTGGAACTCCTGACCTCAAGTGATCCGCCCTTCTCAGCCTCCCAAAGTGCCAGAATTATAGGCGTGAGCCACCATGCCCTGCCAGAGCTGAGCTGAATCTTTTGTGTGTGTGTGGAGAGGGATGGAGTTTCGCTTTTTTGCCCAGGCTGGAGTGCAGTGGCACAATCTTGGCTCACTGCAACCTCCGCCTCCCAGGTCCAAGCGATTCTCGTGCCTCAGCCTCCCCAGTAGCTGGGATTACAGGCATGTGCCACCACGCCCGAGTAATTTTTGTATTTTTAGTAGAGACAAAGTTTCACCATGTTGGCCAGGACCTCAAGCGATCCACCCACCTCAGCTTCCCAAAGTGCTGGGATTACAGGCATGAGCCACCGTGCCCAGCCAATCTTTTCATGTAGTAGATTTCTTGCAATGTAACCCCTATCCTCTGGGCTTTGTGTAAAAAGTGCATTCAGACAATCTGAGGAGTGTCTTAATTTTTTATGTGACTATCATATATATTTTCATCCTGTTGAGGTGTGTTTGCTAGGTGGATATTGAACTCAAAATCAAAGTATAATTTTAAACTTGTGTTGAAATATATGTGTATAAGCATATGTGCACAATTACCTATATTGTTAAACACCCAACCTGCTTTCCAAAGGATTTGAAGCAACGTCTAGTAAAAACACAGAAGAAGTATGGCCAAGAGCTGTTAACACCAAAAAAAGTAGTACAGGGCAAGTCGCAAACAGATTGCAGTTGAGGAAAGCTGCAAAGGACTATAATGCCAGGCCTGAAGTGATTGCTAAATGTAGCTCTGAACTTTCTGACATTCAAAGCCAAAAATAGATGTATTTTATTATTTAAACAGTGTCTACTCTGAGGTCCTCAAAACGCTTTCAGGGGGTCCACAGATCAAAACCATTTTCATAATAACACCAAGACACTGTTTGCAACTTTCATTGTCATTCTCTTAGGAGTGTACAGTGGAGTTTTCCAGAAGGTACATGCCGTGTTCATCACCACAGATTAAATGCAGAAACAGACATGAGGATCTAGCTGTCTTCTACTAAGCCAGACGTTCAGGACATTTAAAAGTGTAAAACAGTGCCACTCTTCTCACTAACTTTTTTGTTTTGGAAAATATATCTTTCATAAAATATTAATTATGTTGATATATTATGGGTTTGTTGTTATTTTAAATGATAAATAATTTTCTGATTTAATTTCTATGACTGTAAATATTGATGGATATATCCTGTATAAGCAAAAAGTCTTTGGGGTTCTCAACTATTTTTAAGCGTGTAAAGGGGTCATTAGAGAACTGTTCCTCAAGAATATTAGTGTTATTTAAAGAGCTTCTGCACAGAAAAAGAAACTATCAACAGAGTAAACAAACTACAGAATGGGAGAAAATATTTGCAAACTGTGCATTTGACAGGGGGCTAATATCCAGACTCTATAAGGAACTTAAACAATTCAATGAGTAAAAAATAATTAACCCCATTAAAAAGTGGGCAAAAGACATGAACAGACACTTCTCAAAAGAAGACATACAAGCAGCCAACAAACACGAAAAAATGCTCAACATCACTAATCATCAGAGAAATGCAAATTAAAACCACAGGGAGATACCATCTCACTGTAGTCAGAATGGCTATTATTAAAAAGTAAAAAAAAAGATGCTGTTGAGGCTGTAGAGAAAATGTAATGCTTATACATTGTTGATGAGAACATAAATTAGTCCAGCCACTGTGGAAAGCAGTTTGGAGATTCTTCAGAGAACTTAGAACTACCATTTGACCCAGCAGTCCCATTACTGGGCACATACCCAAAAGAAAACAAATCTTTCCACCAAAAAGACACATGTGCTCGTATGTTCACTGCAGCACTATTCACAATAGCAAAGCCATGGAATCAATCTAGGAGTTCATCAATGATGGATTGGATAAAGGAAATGTGGTACACATACATCATGAAATATTGCCCAGCCGTAAAAAAGAACGAAATCATGTCCGTTGCAGCAACATGGATGCAGCTGTAAGCTGTTAGCCCAAGTGAATTAATGCAGGAACAGAAAACCAAATCCTGCATTTTCTCACTTATAAGTGGGGGCTAAACATTGAGTACACATGGACATAAAGATGGAAACAACAGACACTGGAGACTACTAGAGGGAGGAGAAAGGGAGAGAGGAGAAAGGGAGGGAGGAGAAAGGGAGGGAGTCAAGGGCTGAAAAACTACCTTTTAGGTACCATGCTCACAACCTCAGTGATGGGATTAACTGAATCCCAAACCTCAGTGTCACATAATATACTCATGTAACAAACCTGTGTATGTACCCTCTGAATCTAAAATAAAGGTTGAAATTATTTTTTAAAAAAAGAATATAACTATTATTTAATCATCTGTATCAGTCCATTCTCACAATGCTATATATTAATAAAACTACTTGAGACTGGGTAATTTTTAAGGAAAAGAGTTGACTCACAGTTCTGCATGGCTGGGGAGGCCTCAGGAAACTTACAATTATGGTGGAAGGGGAAGCTTGCAAGGCATGTCTTACATGGTAGCGGGAGAGAGAGAGAGAGAGAGCAAGTCAGGGGGTTGGCGGGAAAGTGCCACACTTTTAAACCATCAGATCTCGTGAGAACTCACTATCACACCATAAAGGAAACTGGACCCGTTATCCAGTCACCTACCAGGTCCCTCCCCTGACACATAGGGATTGCAATTCGAGATGAGATTTGGATGGGGACAAGAGCCAAACCATATCATGCATCTGAGATGCTGATTTTGCCCCCCATCCCCCAATTTTTTCCAAAAGACATTGATCTACACTTGATCCCCTACAAAACTGAAAGTATTTTAGGAATAGATGAAGCAGCATTTTTATGCACATATATTCATTTATTCCTCATTCTATCTGCTCAAAACGTATTTATTCAGCACCTTTTTTTTGTTTGTTTGTTTTGTTTTTTGAGACGGAGTCTCGCTCAGTCGCCCACGCTGGAGTGCAGGGGCACGATCTTGGCTCACTGCAACCTCCACCTCCTGGATTCAAGCAATGCTCTGTCTCAGCCTCCCAAGTAGCTGGGATTACAGGCTCCCACCACCAAGGCCGGCTAATTTTTTTTTTGTATTTTTAGTAGAGACGGGGTTTCACCATCTTGGCCAGGCTGGTGTTGAACTCCTGACCTTGTGATCCACCAGCCTCGGCCTCCCAAAGTGCTGGGATTACAGGTGTGAGCCACCGCACCCGGCCTATTGATCACCTTTTATACATATGCCAGGTATAGTGCTTGACTCTGGGAATAGAGTGAAGGGCAAGGCACACATGAGCCTTGGCCTCATGAAGATTATGATCTGCTTGCAAAGGAACAACAGTATGACTTAAAAATAATATAGGGTCAATGTAAAATTAATCCAGATGGAAACTGCTTTTGTTTGTCTTCACATAAACTACCAGTTTTTTTAAAAACCTGCTACCAGTTTTGCTGAGTCTGAAGGCTTAAGGTCAAGGAATTTCTAAGCAGGAGAACATCATGTGCCAGGTATTGAATTTACTGGTGATGTAAGTTACAGCAGCCCTATTCTCTTATTGTGTTTACAGGTATGGTATGTTTTGAGAAAATTCAGCCTAGGTAAACAAAAATTCATGTGAGAAAGTATTACATTTGTATTAAAAAATTTTTTTCATTTTGGAAATATTAGACTTATGGAGGGGGTGATCAATAACTTTATTGATTGAATGATTGAGCAGTTCATTGTATATTTAAAACATGATTCAAGGCCGGGCGCGGTGGCTTATGCCTGTAATCCCAGCACTTTGGGAGGCTGAGGTGGGTGGGTCATAAGGTCTGGAGATTCACCGTCTCTACTAAAAAATACAAAAAATTAGCTAGGTGTGGTGGCGGGTGCCTGTAGTCCCAGCTACTCGGGAGACTGAGGCAGGAGAATGTTGTGAACCTGGGAGGCGAAGCTTGCAGTGAGCCGAGATCACGCCACTGCACTCCAGCCTGGGTGACAGAGCGAGACTCCATCTCAAAAAAAACAAACAAAAAAGAAACATGATTCAGATGATCCCAGTTGACTCAGTTTATCAGTTATATGTATAATACATTTAGAAAAACAAAACTGTACCTCACAGTTGCAGTAGAAAAGAAGGAAGCATGCTTCCAGGGTGGCTAGTGTCTGCTGCTAGGCAAGCCCCAGAATGGAAGGAAAAGTCTAGAGGCAGTAAAAGAGCAGCGCCAAAGAAAATATGAACTTCAAAGTTTAAGTGGAACTTAATTTCTTTGACAGCATCATTGAGCAGAAGGTCAAGGCAGTGCATATAAATTTCAGTAAGACATTATACAAAAATCTTTTATAGCGTTCTTGTTGATTAGCTAATGGAGAGATGTAGGGTAGATCATGGTATAATTAGATTGATTTGCAGCTAGCTGGTTGAACAATCATTTCCCAAAAGTCTTGGTAATGGATCCATTTCAACTTTGAGGGGGTTCTTTATAGGCTTACCACAGGGCTCTAGCTTAAGCCTCACTCAGTACAATATTGTTGTAAGTCATATGCTGGTGAAATCTGCTGTTGACACACAGATAAGAGGAATAGCTTATATATTAAGATGCTAGGACCAGAGTCCAAAAACATTTGAAAAGACTGGAACAATGTGTCAAGTTTAATAAGATAGAGTTTAATAGGATAGCAGTCCACATTCTGGCCCCTAAAAACTCTCTGAACAAGTTCATGATGTTTGGAACATGGCATATTTAAACGACATCAGAATGAGGCAAATATATAAACATATCTGAGTCAGGTCCAGTGGCTCATATATATAGTCCAAGCTACTTGGGAGGCTGAGGCGGCAGGCTTGTTTGAGTGCCGCCTGGGCAACATACTGAGGCCTCACCTCTTAAATAAATAAATAAATAAATAAAGGTATCTGTAAGGACTTTGCTATGAGTAGGCCACCACTTGATTTATAGGATGAGGTTTCCTGAAGCTTCTTGATGTCAGTAGGTCTTAGGCCAGGGGACAGGAGGGCGAGGTTGTGGAAGAAACCTGCATAGAAAGAATGGTTTAAGAATGCAATATGCGCCCATGCGGTGGCTCACACCTGTAATCCCAGCACTTTGGGAGGCCGAGGTGGGTGGATCACGAGGTCAGGAGATCAAGACCATCCTGGCTAATTTGGTGAAACCCGTCTCTACTAAAAATACAAAAAATTAGCCGGGCTTGGTGGCAGGCGCCTGTAGTCCCAGCTACTCGGGAGGCTGAGGCAGGAGAATCACTTGAACCTAGGAGGCAGAGGTTGCGATGAGCACCACCACACTCCAGCCTGAGTGACAGAGCAAGACTCCATCTCAAAAAAAAAAAAAAAAAAAAAAAAAAAAAGGTGCAATATGCAAAAGAAAACAGCAAACTCAATAAATGACTTTCTAAAATGCAATGGGAGGCCTCAGAATGTATTAACAGAAATATAATGTCCAGAATAAAGGAGGGGATGGTCCTACTTTACTCTCTGCCAGTTAGGCCCCACCTGGAATACTGGAGGCAATTTCGAGTGACTACCTTTTACAGAGACTTTGACTAGCTAAATATATACAGAGAACACAGCAATTAAGATGGAAAGGGTCTTGAAATCATGTCATGTCCCTGCTTTCAAAGTGTGACCCTGCTGGCTCCCTCTCAGAGCTCGCTTCCTACCTCTTTCCCCTCACTGTTTCCTCTCCACTGTCTCCATGATGGCCTTGCTGGTATTCCCCAGACATCAAACATTTATCATTGCAAGGCCTTTTTTTTTTTCTCCCCAGATATTGACATGGCTCTTTCCCTCAGTTCAGTAGAGTTTTCCCGAAAGTCAGGTCTTTGTCCAAATGTTATGTCCTCAGTAGGACCTCTCTTACCTCCCAACCTAAAGCAACAGTCTCATTCCCAGTTTCTTTACCCTGCCTTTCCTTCTGTGTATGTATCACTACCTGACATTACATTATAAATGTACCTATTGAACTGTTTATTTTCTGTCTTCCTCAATAGAATATATGTTCCAGGAGGGCTGTGGCTTTGTTTTCCTCTTCCATCCTTCGGCCATCCTAGGTACACAATAAACAACTTTTTTTTTTTTTTGAAATAGGGTCTCACTTTGTCACCCAGGCTGGAGTGCAGTGGTGCGATCTCACCTCTCTGCAGCCTCGACCTCCTGGGCTCAAGCGATTCTCCCACCTCAGCCCCGTAAGTAGCTGGGACTACAGGCATGTGCCACCACGCCCAGCCAATTTTTTGTATTTTTTGTAGAGACGGGGTTTCACTATGTTGCCCAAGCTAGTCTAGAACTCCTGAGCTCAAGCGATTTGCCTGCCTCGGCTTCCCAAAGTGCTAGGATTACAGATTACAGGCATAAGCCATGGTGCCCAGTCCTCAGTAAGGATTTATTTATTTATTTATTTATTTATGTATTTAGAGACAGTGTCTTGCTCTGTCGCCCAGGCTGGAGTGCAGTGGTGTGACCCTGGCTCACTGCAACCTCTGCCTCCCAGGTTCAAGTGATTCTCCTGCCTCAGCCTCCGAGTAACTGGGATTACAGGCGTGCACGAGTAGGTTCAGCTAATTTTTGTATTTTTCGTAGAGGCAGGGTTTCATCATGTTGGCCAGGCTGGTCTCGAACTCCTGACCTCAAGTGATCCACATCCTCGGCCTCCCTAAGTGCTGAGATTACAGGCATGAGCCACCATGCCCAGCCACAATGAGCAATTTTTGATGAACTTAAGGAATAAAACGAGTCCATACTGCAAACCTACAAAAGGAAAGCCTCTAAGAGATTCAAACACGTAGGGGAGCTACTTTGTGGAAGAGGTTTTTCCCACATGGCCAGGATAGAATGATGAGTGGGCGCTCAAGGAAAAAAGATTTGAGACTCTCTGGCTCTGTGGAAAAAAAAAAAAAAAAAAATTTCTAAGAGTTGGAAAGGGTGGGTCCCTTGGGGTGTCCCTGCCACTGGTTGTACTTGCATGGATTTGAGAAAACCACTCGTCAGGGATACTGTTTGGTTTCTGAATTAGATAATACTTAACACTTTTTCCTATTCTAAAATTTTATGAGATTTTCACAGGTTAGGCCACCTCTTTCTTATTAAAAAGTAGTTTTAAAATTTGGTCTGCTGAAGTAATTTTCCTATGTGAACACACCTTCAATGTTTTAAATGTGACCATGGATTCAATTTATAGAAACTATGCTCGTTTTCTGAAGCATGGTTTGAACTATGTGAGATTTAGAGGAGGAAGATTTTGGTTTCATGAGAAGTATGTATCACTCTGAGGGCATCTTAAGAATGATCAGGATGTACCTAGTTTTTTTTTAATCTACATAACCAGTGTGCTCACCACCCTTATAAATAGTCATAAATGTTGCTTTCTGGGTATCTTTCTAGATAAGACATTGTGTCTGTTCCAAGGAGAATGCTTTTAGCACTCAACAGCTGAGAAAGGAAATGAATTATCCCATTGTAACTACTAGGGCAACTTAGGTAGTCAGTCATACCTTGGTATGAACAGACAGACAAAAGAATAAACAAGATTCTGCTATGTTTTTTCAATGAGGAGGAAGTTTTTCCTCCCTCCCTCCCTCCCTCCTTCATTCCTCCCTCCCTCCCTTCCTTCCTTCTTTCTTTTTGTGAGTCCGAGTGTCACCCAGGTTGGAGTTCAGTGGCGCAATCTCAACTCACTGCAACCTCCGCTTCCCAGGTTCAAGCACTTCTCCTGCCTCAGCCTCCCGAGTAGCTGGGACTACAGGCACGCACCACCACACCTGGCTAGTTTTTTGTATTTTAGTAGAAACGGGGTTTCACCGTGTTGCCCAGGCTGGTCGGGAACTCCTGAGCTCAGGCAATCCACCCACCTGGGCCTGCTAAAGTGCTGGGATTACAGGCGTGAGTCACTGCACCCGGCCCCCCCCCCGCCCTTTTTTTAAAATTAAATAGCACTAAATGTTTAATACTAACGCAGATCTCGGAGGAAACTGAACAGGGGTCTGGTGTTTTTATAAAGCAAACAGACAAACAAAATAAGTGTTTGTAGAGGACTCTGTGTTTTTGACTTACAGGAAAAGGGACAGAATATCAGTGCAGAAGGACTCCGGGCAGCGTCCAGCTCAGATCTCCAGCAGTGACTCACTCCCACAGTCCTCAAGCAGGCCAGGAGCTGTGATACCGCCCGAAATGTGTCGTGGGAATTTGTGGTTATTTCTCTGGCGATGTGATGAGATTTTTGCTGCCTAAAAACCCCAGAGGTTAGAACCACATGGCTAGTGTTCTGTTAACCTAGTAAGTGAGAAAAGAAAGTCTTTCCTGGAATTCTGAATTTTAAAAACTTACTTCAAAAAGCAAGCAAAAAAGCCCAAACATAATGTTAGCACATTAAAAACAAGCAAACAACAACAACAACAAAAACCCAACAAAACCTGAGCTACATAAAGGTAGACACGGTGCTATCAGCCAGATACTAGAACAGTTTCATGAGAAAGGAAGGAAAGTATGAGGATGTTTGACACCAGTTTCAAGTGTTACTATTAAATGAAGTGAAAAGGTCCAAAGAAATGCAAACCCGGCATTACCCCTGTTCTAACGAGAGGCAAAGTGTGCACTCTTAGTATGAGAGAGGATTTCCCGCTCTGGTGTCTTGTATTTTCAAGTACTGAGCACCAGGAGTCACCTTGTCGCCTGATAACTCATTTCTTCGGTGATGTGGGTAGCCAAGGCAGGGTCTGAGTCCTTGGTCACTACTGAACCCCCGCTACAGGCCTGGCACCCGGGAGATGATCAGTAGGCATTCGTTGAATAAAATAATAGAAGTGACTACTCCTGGCCTGACTTCTGCCTAACAGGCTGCCGTCATTACCCAATAAATGGGCCTCTTTCAAAACAGGACACGTTAGGAAATGGAATTTCCCTAAAAGGAAAAGCCAGTAGGGTGGCAGGCCCCTTTCGCTATGCTTTCTGAGAAGGTGAGAAGGAGAAAGACGGGAAAGGGGAGAAAACTTCCCAGGGTGATGGGTCCTGCACTGCCCTTTGATCTTGGGTTTGAGAAGTGACCCGACTCTCCTGGCCATAAAACCCCAGAAACAAGAGCCAGTAGGTTTGGAGGCCGGCAAGGCATTTCCTCCCCACGTGACGAGGTGGCTCCTCTCCGCGCCCGCCGCAGCGCGCGCAGCTGCCGGCATTTCAAAGGTGAGGACCGGCAGCCTTGTGGCTGGGCCGCCGTGCGCTCGGGGCGCGGGCGGGCAGGGGGCGGTGCCCGCTCCGGCTCTCGCCGTCCCTCCCCTGCCCGTCTCCTCCTCCTCGCGCCTCCATTTGGTGAACTCACAATAGGTTCCCAAGCCAGGAAAGAGACACCTGCCGGTGGCAGGCAGCAATGCGGGGCCCGCGAGCCCTCGCGACACGCAGTCCAGGCCGAGGCCCGCCCGGGAGAACCGAGCAGAGCGGGCCGCGCCGGGACTGCACGCGCTTCTCCTTTGCAAGCCGGTTCTTCATTCAGCTTCCAAGGACACAACATGATCTCATCTTTGAACGCCTTTCCAAACATCTTACAACAGGCATAGGTTCACGTATGGGGGACCCCAAATGTCCCGCCAGCCTGGCCCCCCACGCTGACCGTTCCCGGAGCTGCTGGGCCAAGAGAACACAAGAGCGTTATATATAACACAAGAGAGTATATATATAACATATGTATATGGCCTGGTGCAGTGGCTCACCCCTGTAATCCCAGCGAACATTTCCCCATCCTCTGCTTTAGGCAATGACCCTATACTAGCGCTTGTGTCTGTGTGTGGTGTGTGTGCTTGTGCGTGTGAGAGAATGTGTGGACTTGAAAGTGACCAGCTATATTAGCAGTCACAGTGAGAGAAGCAAGCGTCAGATGAGAACACAGGAGAGGAGAGAGAGAGAAGAAAAAGGAAGGAAGGAAGGAGGGAAGGAGGGAAGGAGGGAGGGAGGGAGGGAGGGAGGGAGGGAGGAAGGAAGGAAGGAAGGAAGGAAGGAAGGAAGGAAAGGAGGGAGGGAGGGAGAGAGAAAGAAAAGGGAAGGAAAGAAAGAAAACGAAATGCAATAAGAACACCGTAAGGACAACTTCTATGAGCTGGGACCCTGGGAGCCCAGTTTGGTTGGAAAGGCAGGACTAACCTCATAATTATAATCACTGACTTTCATTGCCACCGAGTACTAGAAGAAAGAGCTCCATGAAGGCTGGAGAAGCAAAGTCTTCTGGACTTTACAGGCTAACTGGTCTAGGGGTAGTGTCTTCAAAATGGGGTCACCTGGGAGAGAGGAAAGTTTAAAGGATGGCCCAGTTCACTGAGGAAGTAAGTGTGGTGAGAGAAGATCAGACAGACTAGGGGAGGACAAAAATTCCAAAAGCATACAGGGAATGCTTGCCAGTCAGAGAGGGAAGAAAACTAAGATAGTGCAGGCTCACGGAGGCACAGAGAAGTGAGATTTCAGAAAGAACTAGTGGAGAGAGCTGGCCTTGGGCAGTGTTTTCCAAACCATTAGAGGGCTGTGAACCAATATGGTTATGAAACCAGCACTTCAAAGCATAATAGAAAATGTCAGAGAGGGCTGGGCACAGTGGCTCATGTCTGTAATCCCAGCACTTTGGGAGGCTGGAGACCAGCCTGGGCAACATAATGAGACTCTGTCTCTTTTTATGTATTTATTTATTTTGAGACATATTCTCACTCTGTTGCCCAGACTGCAGTACAATGGCATGATCTCGGCTCACTGCAACCTCTGCTGCCCAGGTTCAAGTGATTCTCCTGCCTCCGCCTACCGAGTAGCTGGGATTACAGGCACCTGCCACAGCTAATTTTTGTAGTTTTAGTAGAGACCAGTTTCACCATCTTGCTCAGGCTGGTCTTGAACTCCTGACCTTGTGATCCACCCGCCTCAGCCTCCCAGAGTGCTGGGATTACAGGGGTGAGCCACCGTGCCTGGCCTTCTGTCATATATATATATATACACACACACACACACACATATATATACACACACACTCTCACACACACACATACATATGTATATATATGGCCGGGTGCGGTGGCTCAGCCCTGTAATCCCAGCACTTTGGGAGGCTGAGGCGGGCAGATTGCTTGAGGTCAAGAGTTCGAGATCAGCCTGGGCAACATGGAAAACCCTGTCTCTACTAAAATTACAAAAATTAGCTGGACATGGTGGCGTCTGCCTATAGTCCCAGCTACTCAGGAGGCTAAGGTAGGAGAATCACTTGAACCCGGGAGGTGGAGGTTGCAATGAGCCAAGAGTGCACCACTGCACTCCAGCCTGGGCGACACAGTGAGACCCTGTCTAAAAAACAAAACAAAACAAAAAAAGAAAATGCCAGAATGTATCTCACATAGCAAAGGTAGTTTCCAGAAACTTCTGTTTAAGATATATATTTGGAGGGGGTGCACAATATCATCTCTGTGACGTTCTTAAAAAAAAAATGCATAACCTCAGTCCAATCATGAAAAAACATCATACAAACCAAAATGGAGGGACACTTGACAAAACACCTCTTCAAAAGTGTCAAGGTCATGAAAGTCAAGGAAAGGCTGAGAAAAAGAGACTACAGGAGACTAAAGAGACAGGACAGTTGAATGTCATGCAGGGTCCTGAATAGGACCCTGGAACTGAAAAGGGGTATCAGTGGCAAGCTGGTATCTTCAGCTTCGTTGATAGTACCGTACCGATGTTGATTTCCTGATTATGACAATTGTACTACGGTTACATAAGTTGTTAATAGTAGGAGAAGCTGGATGAAGGATATATAAAAATTTCCTGGACTATTGTTGCAACTTTTCTGCAAGTCTAAAATTAATTCAAAATAAAAAATGTGTTTTTGTATGTGTGAACAACAGGGGGCTCGTGATGTAGAATATGTTTCTTATAATGGGCTGTGGTGGAAAATGTTCACAAGCCACGTCCCTTGGGTGTGGAAGGTGTCCGGATTCGCCAGCCTGGACCAGGTGGTGAGGGTAGCTCCTGGAGCTGAGGTTCCTGGAGGGTTTGTGGGTGTAATGGGGGTGAGTGAGAAGCTGCTGGTGACAGATCATGGTCAGATGTGGTGGTAGCTGGAATTATCACGGTGTCTCGAGGCATTTCAATCCAAGCCACCTATCTGCTGTTTAACAGAGGCTGTAGATTCCAGAAGGGCGAGGAACTCTGACCCCATGAAGTCTGAGAGGTGGGCATCAGGGATCCTGAAGCTGTCACAGTGCTATTCTGTTATAACCTCAAGCAGCCACTTGTGAGAAGTTAAATGCCAGGAAGAGAGACTTTTGGAGGATTGGCGGTGTTTGATAGTCTAGGGTTGTGTTATTGCTTTGTGTGTGTGTGTGTGTGTATGTGTGAAGGAGGAGCTAATTTCAGCCCTAAACTATAGTTTCTCTGACTCCCCAAGGCTGTAGGCAGATAAATGTCCCTCTTTCACCAGGAATCTTTCAAGCAACTTGGAGAAATAAAAGGTTTGGTGAGGCAGCTGCTTCTAATATCTATACCCCTGCTTTGAAAACATATGGAATTAGAAGAGCAGTTCTTGACTGGGGGTGACTTTGCCCCCCCAGGAGACGTTTGGCAATGTCAGGAGACATTTTCAGTTGTCACACTGGGAGAGAGTGTATGTGTGTGTATGTTACTGGCATCTAGCCGGTAGGGCCAGGGATGCTGTAAACATCCCGCCATGCACAGGACAGCCCCCTCCACCAGCACAGTGGAAAATCATTCAGCCCAAGATGCCAACAGGACTGAGAATAAGAAGCCCTGAGTTAGAGGAGATGAAAAGCCAATGTCTGTTTAGAGTCCAGAAAGTTGCCTGGGTGCTTTTCACAAAAGAAAGGGTTTTAAGCTTCATTTCTTGGCTTGATTTCAAGTGGATAATTATAACCTGCCTACCTACAATTTACACTTTCATTTTCAGTGGGTATCTTTCTTCAGTTCATGCTTAAACAAGCCAAATGTGGCTGTGTTCTTGACAACAGGGCAATATTCCATGGCTGAGTCGGTTACAGGTCAACAGTGGGTGAAACAACTGGTCTGCAAAGTGATTTGAAGCCTTTGGGGGCTGAAAAGCACTAAAACCAGAAACCTGGGACATTATCACCATTATTAATTATCAGTGATATTACAGCACTTATTCAGCCACTCTCAGGATTCCCACAGGATTCCCATTAGTGCTAAGGTGAAAATCAGATTCCTGACCTCCAGTCCGCCACTGCCTAGAATTAATATGTTAGCTGTTAGAAGCCGGGAGCTGTCACGCTGCATGTCCCTGCTGCTCCAGTGTTTGGGAGAGGCTTTGCACTGGAAACATTGAGCTTCAAAGCAAATCTTCAACCTTCTATTCGTACTCACTGTTCCCATATATAGAACAGAGCAGCACACACTTGTCTATTGCTTCAAGGCAAGAGCCAATTCTGAAGGTATTAAATAGAGTCTTACTTCATCCAAACAAGAGAGCCCAGAGAAAGCTAAGGACAAGGTTCTGTCCCTTCCTTTACATTTTAAAGATTTTATTTATTTATTTATTTATTTATTTATTTATTTATTCTTAGAGACGCAGTCTCGCTTTGTCTCCCAGGCTGGAGTACAGTGGTGTGATCTCGGCTCACTGCAACCCCCACCTCCCAGGTTCAAGCCATTCTCCTGCCTCAGCCTCCTGTAAAGCTGGGATTACAGGTATGTGCCACCACGCCCGGTTAATTTTCCTATGTTTAGTAGAAATGGATTTTCACCATATTGGTTAAGCTGGTCTCGAACTCCTGACCTTGTGATCTGCCCACCTCATCCTCCCAAAGTGCTGGGATTACAGGCATGAGCCACCACACCTGGCCTAGATTATAATAATTTGGAGTGGCAGAATTTAAGATCAGGATCCAAGCTGCAAACTCTTAAACTGAAGGGTTATTTTAGAAGCCACACAGATCAGTTTATGAAACCTGATTTGGCTTTTTTTTTTTTTTTAAAATAAACAGCATTTAAATGTTAAACAAGCCTGGACAGCTACAGACAGGCAACAGGCATAAAAGAAGCAGGCTTAAATTTTTTTTTTAATTTTTGGTGTGTTTGTTCATTTTCCCTAGGATTTCTGTCTTTAGAAAGATAATATCGATTTAATCTTTAGTAACCTGGAGTTTCGGCAAAGTGTGCTTTCTAGAATTTTGAATGGTAATATCTGTCGTTTCTCTGCTT